GATTTATAATGATATTAAATTATTTTTTCATTTATTGCAATATTTCCCCAGGTCTCACCAGCCTGGGATACAAATAGGGCAATGTTAATAGGACTATCCCAGATTTCACTGCCTCTAGCTCTTGTCTTCATAACATAGGAGGTCAGTTTCCCCTTCAAGTTCTACCTGTTTGTGTTGGAGAATCCTAAAGCTGTTCCATGTGAATTCATGAATTCCTCTTAGTGTCTGTCTAGAATCTATGAGGCCATCTGAAGGGGAACTCTAGAACTGCCACCCTGTCCTTCCTAAGAGCCCCAGCATCTAGTTGAGCTGGTGCTCCAGGCTCTACACCTGCAAATGCTTAAGATGCCAAATACCTTTCCTTTCCCTTGGCCTGCTGGCTTTACTCAGACAATACTGGTTGGTCACACTTTTCACAAGATGCCATATTTTTCTGAAGACTGCTAATAACTCAAACTCATACTTCAGGACTAAAGCCACATTTGTTTAGCTGTCGAAATATTACCACTTTGTGGCAGGAACTTAAACTTTTAATTCGTTTTCCTACCAACTTTGAAAGGAAATACCTTTCATAAAATGTTAACTTGGAGGATTGTATTATTTCAGAATTTGGCATAATGTAAGACATCTGTAATATTTTTTGATCACAGTAGTTTAAGTTTGCAAAATTTAACTCCCATGAAATTTGATGGCTTTGTGCTTTGTGTGCTGCACAGTAGTGGGGGACATGCCTTTCCTTCACTTTGTATTGCACAGATAGTACTGTGTGCCTCATAGGAGCAGTTCTTTTGGATTCTGTCTGCAGTTCTTTCTTCCCTAAGACTCAGATCCCCAATTCAGGTGGCAGAGACAGATGTCATGTGGCTCCCCACCCCCATCCCCATTCTAGTCTTTCTGAGGATAGGAAAAGAAAAAAAAAACCTTTCTTGTCTCCTGTCTGTCAAAACAAAAATATTTAGAACTCGTGTGTGTGTGTGTGTGTGTGTGTGAGAGAGAGAGAGAGAGAGAGAGAGAGTAAGAAAATGCATGGAGAGAGAGGGTCTCACTCTGTTACCCAGGCTGGAGTACAGTGGCACAATCATAGCTTACTCACTGCAGCCTCCATCTGAGCTCCAGTGATCCTTCCGCCTCAGCCTCCCAAGTTGCTGGTGCACGCCACCTCACCCAGCAAATTTTTAAAATTTTGGTATAGACAGGGTCTCACTATGTTGCTCAGGCTATTCTCTAAGTCTTGAGCTCAAGGGATCTTCCCACCTCAGCCACCCAAAATTTTGGGATTGCAAGTGTGAGCCACCATGCCCGGCTGACTTTTAGAACTTAATATTAGACAGGCCCAGGTAACAGAATCCATTAGATTTAGGCCAGTGTTATCCTGCCTCCACACCTCATACTCATTAAATGTTCAAAAAATATAGAAAAGGAGAAGGAAAAACTAAAATTTTTTTTTGTAGCTATTGAAATCCTCACATAAACTGAGTTTGCAATGCAAATATACGGTCCTTGTTTGGATTCTAGAGTAAACAAACTGTATGAGATATTTGGAGGACAATTCCAGAGAGTTGGCTATGGCACGGGTACAATGATATTAAGCAATTACTGGTAATTGTCTAAGATGGGGTAATGGAATTATGGTTGTAATGAAAATGTACTCATTTTTTAAAAGATGGATAAGATTTTGTCATGAATGTCTTAATTTATATACTTTAAAATAGAAAAAACAAGTATGGCAGAATGTTGACAATATTAAACGTGGAATTTGGGTGTAAGGTGTTAATTTTCTTTCTAGTAAGTTTGAAATTTTAAATCTTTTTTTCCTCCAACCTTGGCAGAGGAATGAAATTTTTTAACAAACTTTTTTTTAAGGACGGGGTTGTAATCATACTACATATAGCATCTTTTCAAAAAGAAATCAGTTTTGTATTTCACTTCTTTTTCTCTCTTAATCTATAAAAGTATGTTTCCTTGAAACTAGTGTGTGTGCTATTACATGCTGCTGGAACTCAGCTTAAAAAGTGGGCCTTAACATTCATCTGTCCCCAGTGTACGTGAAGGATAAGACATACTCTCAGTAATAATAGTGACTCATCCTAAAGAGGGTGAGAGTGGAGGACTAAGGAATCCGGGGGAGTGAGCCTGAGTAGTTTATAAGAAGTTGCACAGGTGATTCTAACTGGCTTCTTGTAGGCCACTGGCCTAAAAAAGTAGTGTCGAACTCTAAATATTACAAAACTTCTTTCACAACTGATTTGTTATTTATTTACAGATTCCTACTCTTTAACTTTAAAAATCATCTCTTATGCTAGATTTTTTTTCTTTTGTTTCCAGACTAGAAATTAACCTTATAATGTACCTGGGCTCTTAGAAATCGTATTGTGATGCACTATCCATTCCTCTCTCACTTTATAACTACAGATGTCTGGGGACAGCAGCACTTGTGGTGTGATTGTTATGTGAGGGCACTCTGAGGTCATCTATAGCCAGCACTAACGTGCTGTTTATCCACTGACTTCCCCACAAAGTTGTTGCCAGAATCTTTTCCCCTTTGTTTGTGGTAGTCAGATGGCAGAGAATTGACCTGCATCTAGACAGTTTTCTAATTCTGTTGACTGGTCAGTACGTACGTATATGTTGAGCCCCTACTCTGTGCAAAGCACTGCCAGCTGGAATTAAAAGGTGAGAGGAATAATATTTTCCAATCACAAGAAGTTAAACAACATACAATGACTATGAAGGGTGGAAAGTCATTGTATATGAAGGGTGGCTGGAGTGTGGATGGTGGAAACATGAATGTAGGAAGTGAAGCCATGTGTGACTAAGTGGTCCAGACTTTGTGCCCAATGGTTGGATTGGCCAGAGATTTCTTAGAGCTGCAGTGGAGTCAACACATGCCACCCCCAAGTGGGGAATGGGGCATTAGTGGGCTGGAGTCCTCTTGCACACCAGTCCTTTGGAGATGCTCTCTTAAAGTTGCTTTTCTCTGTGAAGAAAACAAGAGGATACCTGTAATAATAATAAGGAAAAATCATGATTTTAATTGTTTCTTTCCCTCCCTCCCTCCCTCCCTCTCTCCCTCCCTCTCTTCCTCTCTTCCGCCCTCCCTTCCTCCCTTCCTCCCTTCCTTCCTCTCTTTCTTTCAAACTGGAGAACAATAAATGTAAAGTTAAACTAAAAACTGATGAAGAGAAACTCTTAAAAAAGGAGTATTAGAACAACAAAAATCCTGGTATATTGTAAATTGTGAATTAATGAGGATTTAAACTACTTCTTTCAACAATAGAATAGAAAATGCTTTTATGCTGTTTTAAAGAGTTGATCATCAGGAAAGAAAACTCGAGTTCAAATGGTACTTGCTGAATTTTAATAATTCTTTTCAAAGTCATTATTACTATAATGTTTTAAATGACATTTATTTGATCATATACTCATATTTTTATGACCTGTATCATTCATTGTAGTTACTTATTTAGGACTTTTCAGGTAATATCATCTAAAAAGAATCAGGCTCATGAAATTTAGGGACCTACAGTAGTACTGAAAAATTGTAATGTTAATGAGATTGTCTGCCTCTGCTACCTCATTCCCTTCTTGTTTTTTATCCTGCCTGCTGTAATATCCTCGGTACTCCTTCTTTACTCATCTGGATTCCTTTCTTCTATAAAAATCTGAATTTAGTGAAGAATGACTTGAATCATTTATGTTTTCCCTCACTGTAGGGATAATTTGCATTTAATCTCTATCAAAAGTGAGGATTTTCTTTTCTTTCTTTTTTTTTCTTTTGAGACAGACTCTCACTCTGTCACCCAGGCTGGAGTGGCAGTGGTGCGATCTCTGCTCACTGCAACCTCTGCCTCCCGGGTTCAAGTGATTCTCCTGTCTCAGTCTCCCGAGTAGCTGGGACTACAGGCTCACACCACCACTGCCGGCTAATTTTTTTGTATTATTGTAAAGACTGGGTTTCACCGTTGCCCAGACTGATCTCAAACTTCTGAGCTCAGGCAGTCTGCCTGTTATGGCTTCCCAAAGTGCTAGGATTACAGACGTGTGCCCCCATGCCTGACCAAAAACTGAGGATTTTCAAATGTCGTTGAACATGAGGTAGAATATCAGGGGGCCTATGGGCCTTTCTTGTATGCCTAAAATAAATTTATAATGAATATGTGTATGCCATATCTGTTTATTTAACAGGAATGTGCAAAGGAGAAAACATTTGCCTTAGAAAAGTAGAATTCAGAATTCCTGACTGTTGGTATAGATTTCAACCGAACTTATTTATATAACAAATAGATGTGACCATATGTTTGTATATCTATATAATAAGCAAAGTGGCAATAAAATAAGAGGAAAACCTAACACCATTAACACTTAACAGTAGCCATGTGCAATAATAAATGTGTTAATATAATAGTATCTTTACTTATGAAAGAATGCACAGAAGGTATAAATGATTTCAGTTAGCTATTGCCACGTTATTGTGAATAGTTGTAAGCGATAAATTTGCATCTCTTTAAGTATATTCCATGGTTTAGACTTTTAATTTATGTGGTTTTCTATTCCTGCTTGGTAAATGAGGAATTCCTCTATGTTGAAAAGAGAATCTCAGTTTACATATACCCTTGGGAAGATCATTCTGTTTGATTCAGAATGATTGAGAAAATCATTCTATTTTAATGGTGAACAGCAGACCTGCAATTCTATGCTATTATAAATATAGCTTACCATAACAATACCATAATGCTTACCTTAAAATGCTTCAAACTAAGTGGGATGTAATGGGAAAATGTATTAAGCTGTGATTTTAACTTAAAAAAATAGCTTATAGGCATACACAAAATTCCAAAACATAAATGGTATGTAGTTTTTTCCACCCATTCCTGTCTCTAGCTGCCCAGTTTCCTTCCTTCTTGGCATCCATTGCTCTCTTTCTTGAGTATCTTGCAGAGGTAGCCTGTGCATTCCATTTATTTCTAATATTCATTATTTCAATTATTTATTTACTTTAGATGACTCCAGAATTGATGATAAAAGCATGTAGCTTTTATACTGGACATTTAGTAAAGACTCATTTTTGGTAAGAATATGATTTTTATAAGCAATTTCTTCCTCTTTATGTTTTTATTCTTGATGTTTTTCAGACAAAGAAAAATTAACTTTTGGCCAGTTGTGCTGATTTTATCTATTTAATCATGATTCTACCATTTGATGTTATGTATTTCTTTCATATTTACTCAGCTTTCACTTAGTTAAGATATATATTTTACTTCTTTGATGTATAACTATCTTTTCCTAAAAAATAAAACTTTAAAATTAAAAAGTATAGTTTCACAATTCACTTATCTGAAACCCTTGGAGCCAAATATGTTTTGGAATTTAGATTTCCTTTTAAACAAGACATCATTTGGTGGTTCTTATGGTAAATTGGAGTTATGACAACATGATTTTATTCCATGATTTCTTTACTTTATCCAAAAAGAAATATGACTGTCATATAATCTCCATTTTTCTCTATAACTATTAGGAATTCCTCAGGTCATAACCAATTTGTAGAAGTTTTTTTCTATGCTGTGTCTTTTGAGATCATAAAGGAGATATCATTCTTTGTTCCTCGTAATTTATTTACTGATATATTACCCTAATATCAAAAAATTTTTTTAATGTTTTCTGCCTGCAGCACTTGGAGAGACATCACTCATACAAATCAAAATGTTGTCCTGGCTGATAAAATGAACAGAGCAGTGACACGTTACAATTTCAGACTTCAAAAATCTGTATTTCATCACTGGCACTCTTATATAGAAGACCAGAAAGAAAAACTTAAAAGTAAATTTTTACATAGCAGCAATTACTTTTTGTATCCATTTATTGAAATAATTAAAATACAGTTAGGCATAGTTTGTATACTTAGAGAACCTATCATTTTTATGTCTAGAGAATTGTCATGAAATGAAGGTAGAGCCACTAATTTAAAAATACTTAAATGAGATTTGTCTCAAAGAATTTTATTTTAATAGAAAACGGGCATATTAAAAATTATGTCTAGTGTGCATTTGTGAATACATGAATATAAATAGAATCTACTATGAGCTTTTTTGCATAATAGAGAGCTGGATGGGTACCAAATAGTATGGACAGGTAGCAGAATTGAGAGGTTTATTTTTATGGAGAGGTTTATGCTTTTTACAAATATTACATATAATGTATATATGAGGAAACTTAAAAATAAAAATCATTTTCTCTTAAGACGTTGGAGGTTATACTGGGTGACTGGGAGGTATCTTCATGTGATCAGTGCCCACTCAGTATAATCTCCAAGAACTCCTGCCTTCCACTTAGATTTTTTTTTTTGCAGCTCTGCAGATAATAACTTGTTTATGGCTGTTGCAAACCAGAGAATCATTTCTTTTTGACTGGCTGTGGTTGGTACCTCAGTCAGAGTGGACCCTCTGAAGATTTAGGAACTGGTTAATGGTAGGACATAAAATTAAATTCAAAGGCATTGGATCTAAATGCTACCTTATGACTGTGTTTCTTATGAAAAAGTTTAGAAGTTCTGGTTTTACAGAGAACAAGCTTGTTAAAAAAAAAAAAGAAATGATACATGTCTTGACATTTCTATTGCAGCTATTACTTCTTAATTTCTAAGGGCAAAGTTGATTTTCCATGTTAATAAGCTCCGGAGAGTACTAATGCTATCAAAAGTAATTAATTTCAAGTGTAAATAAAACCAAACAAAAATGATCAGATGCAACATTGGCTCATATTATAAACATTATAGAATATTAAATCACTTTGTGTTTTTTTTGAAATAGCTATAACTATTAATATATACAGTAATCTAGTAAATTTCCTTCAGATATGGTATTGCGGATACAACGGATCATCTATTGTCACAAGCTAACCATTATTCTAACAAAATGGCGGAATAGAGCAAGATATAAGAATAAAAAGAAAGAAGATGAGCTGGTATTGTATATTGAAACAGTTTTTTAAGAATCTGAATTTTTCAGTTATATTCATGTTGCCTCAAATAATAATGGGAAAATACTAAAATCCTGAATATAATGTACTTTTGATGGGATTCTTGTTCTTTTTTTTTTTTTTTTGAGACAGAGTTTTGCTCTTGTTTTTGCTCTTGTTGCCCAGGCTGGAGTGCAATGGTGCGATCTCGGCTCACTGCAACCACCACTTCCTGGGTTCAAACGATTCTCCTGCTTCAGCCTCCCGAGTAGCTGGGATTACAGGCACCTGCCACCACACCCAACTAATTTTTTTGTAATTTTAGTAGAGATGAGGTTTCACCATGTTGGCCAGGCTGGTCTTGAACTCCTGACCTCAGGTGATCCGCCCACCTCGGCTTCCCACAGTGCTGGGATTATAGGCACGAACCACTGTCTCTGGCTAGGATTCTTGTTCTTTAACTTAATAATTTAAAATTTACTTCAGCTATTAGCATATCATTACTTAATATTGGTTTAGTATGCTCAAAGTGACACTACAGTCAGCTGTGGAAACACACTGGATTTTTTTGTAGTTATGTTACTTAGTAGGCAATATTTTATAAATATTTTTGAAATACAAAGTAAGGGTAAATAGCAAAGAGAATGTGGAGTGAAGTTAAATCCCCTTCTTTTGTGGTTGCCCCATGGATCAATGCCCCCAGTCACCTGAATTTAGTTCAGATGTTGAGACTGACAATAGCACACATACACAGCAAAAAAGTATGAGATTTATTACTTACATATGTTTAATACAATGCTAGAGCCCACACTGTGCTTTAATCATCTCAGAGGTTACTTGAGATGCTCTCTAGAAGTTTATAATCTATGGGTTTTGAGCTTGTGGTCTTGTAGGCTGTCCTCTAGGCTTTGCCTTTTGTGAACTACCTTTTCAATGTTGCCAGTGAAACAGCTCTACTTTGGGTACCTAACACTATGTTAGTCTGCTCATTCAGTGCTTTCTACCACTTTGTATATTAAACTAGTGTTTTGATCACTGCCCTCTATGCCTGATCACTGATTCTCTAGTAGTGAAATAGGTAACTGCATGACCAGTCTGCCCCTGTGCATCCCCTTCAGCTAAACATCCCTGAATACAAAAATTAGCCAGGCATGGTGACAGGCACCTGTATTCCCAGCTACTTGGAACCTGAGTCAGGAGACTTGCTTGAACCCTTGAGGCGGAGGTTGCAGTGAGCTGAGATCACACTACTGCACTCCAGCCTGGGCAACAAAAGCGAAACTCTGTCTCAAAAAAAAAAAAATCCCTGAGAGCAGACAGTATTCTTAGTCTTCCCATATGGTGAGCATAATGTTTTGCACACAGTAGTTGATATATATACTCTAATAATATCTTTAATATATATGTGTATTATATAGTTAATTTGGTGTTTAGAGAACATTTTCCTTCTAGATACATGATTTATTGACCTAACAATCATTCTACATTCACTTAAGTGGAGAGAGGATAGCAGGTGTATGCTGGGAACAGAGGCAAGGAACAACTGTGTGTCAAGCGCACCACATGTGTTTTTCCTCAAACTCTAATATGTATGTGTATATGTACAACACACATGTCTACATATATGCACACACACACACATATACACGTAAATATTACATCAGTATTTTGTGTACATGTTTATGACTGAAATACTACCCTTATTTATTACACAGTTTTCAGAAGCATATCAAAAGTTAAAATGGGGTCTTCCTGTGACAATAAATTTGGCAATTTCCCAAATACATTACTTCTGTTTTTTCTTTTTTTGTTATCTGTATGTTAGTCACCTTCACTTCAAGTACCAAATACCAGCTTTTTAATTGCCAGAGCCTTGACTTTGTTGGTCTCACTTTCTCATCTGTGAAAGATGAGACTAAATCAGCCTTTCAAGGTGACTGCCTGTGCCAGTGTTTTACGACAACTAATGCAAATGATCTGTAATACTTTGGTGGTTCAGAGAACATTGAACCTGCTTATGAAAAATTACAGTTTATGTGGTAATGATGATCATAAATAATGTTTAATTGGTGCTATCCTTGTGTCAAGCACTGTGCTTTATGTCTGTCATCTCTTTTGACCCTGATAGCAATTCCATGCAATTTTAAAATTATTTACATTGCAGATATCAAAACATGAGCTTCAATTGAAAAAATGGAGAAATAGGTTACTACTCAAAGGAGCTTCTGCAGGAAAATCCGATCTTCCTGAACAAAGTTCTTCTGAAGTCTGTCTTGTAGATGAGACTCCAGAATGTGACATTTCACAGTTACCTGAAAGAGCAATATTGCAGGTTTGTATGAATTCAGTATACATTATATACTATAATCCTACTCTTGATGTATTGCATTGAGTTAGAATAAGGATATTTTTGCCCATTATTTCTTCCTTTACAAATTACCTGCTCTTATCTTGTCTGTTTTTACATTGTAATTCCTATAACTCCCTTATTGGTTTGTAGTAGCTCTTTATATTGGCAATATTAGCCCTTTGGAATATATTTGGAGATTTTTTCCCCTATGCTTGATGTTTGCGTTTAGTTTTGCTTGTGGAGTCTTTTGATGATAGATTTTATTTATTTATTTCTGAGACGGAGTTTCACTCTTCTTGCCCAGGCTGGAGTGCTGTGGTGCAATCTTGGCCCACCACAACTTCTGCCTCCCGAGTTCAAGCAATTCACCTGCCTCAGCCTCACAAGTAGCTGAGGTTACAGGTGCTCGCCATCACGCCTGGCTAATTTTTTGTAATTTTAATAGAGACTGGATTTCACCATGTTGGGCAGGCTCATCTTGAACTCCTGACCTCAGGTGATCCACCCACCTCAGCCTCCCAAAGTGCTGGGATTACAGGCATGAGCCACCGTACCCGGCCGATGACAGAAATTGTAAAGCTTTGTGTAATAAGTCTGTCATTCTTGCCATAATTATTTCTGTCTCTCTTTTTTTAACTTTTATTTTAGGTTCAGGGAGTACATGTGCAGATTCGTTATATATAGGTAAATTGTGTGTCATAGGGGTTTGTTGTACAGATTATTTTGTCATCCAAGTAATAAACCAAGTATCCAATAGACACTTTTCTGATTCTCACCATCCTCCTACCCTTCACCCTCAAGTAGATCCTAGTGTCTGTTGTTCCTTCCTTTGTGTCTATATGTACTTAACAGTTTAGCTCCCACTTGTAAGCATGAATGTGCAGTATTTGGTTTTCTGTTCCTATGTTAGTTTCCTTAGGATAATGGTCTCCAGCTCCATCTAATTTGCTGCAAAGGACATGATCTCATTCTTTTTTATGACTGCATAGTATTTCATTGTGTGTGTGTGTGTGTGTGTGTGTGTGTGTGTGTGTGTGTGTATACATATATACATACACCACATTTTTAAAAATCCAGTCCACCATTAATGGGCATTTAGGTTGATTTCATGGCTTTGCTATTGTGAACAGTGCTGTGATACGCATATGCATGCGTTGTCTTTATGGTAGAATGATTGATATTCCTTTGGGCCTATACCCAATAATGAGATTGTTGGGTTGAATGACAATTCTGTTTTATGTTCTTTGAGAAATTGTCAAACTGCTTTTCACAATGGCTGAGCTAATTTACATTTCCACCAGCAGTGTGTAAGCATTCCCTTTTCTCTCCAACCTTGCCAGTATCTGTTGTTTCCTGACTTTTTAATAATAGCCACTTTAACTGGTGTGAGATGGTTATCTCATTGTGGTTTTAATTTATATTTCTCCAATGATTAGTGATGTTGAGCATTTTTTTTTTGTATGCTCATTGGTTGCATGTATGTCTTTTTTTGAGAAGTGTTTATGTGCTTTCCCTACTCTTTTAATGGTATTGTTTGTTTTTTTCTGGTAAATTTGTTTAAGATCCTTATAGATTCTGGATATTAGACTTCTGCTGGATGTATAGTTTCCAATTTTTTTTTTACCATTCTGTAGATTATCTGTTTACTCTGTTGATAGTTTCTTTTGCTGGTAGAAGCTCTTTTGTTTAATGAGGTCCCATTTATCAATTTTTGTTTTTGTTGCAATTGCTTTTGGCATCTTCATTATGAAATTTTTGCCAAGTCCTGTGTCCAGAATGGTATTTCCTTGGCTATTTTCCAGGGTTGTTGTAGTTTTAAGTTTTACGCTTAAGTCTTGGATTTATCTTTAGTTGACTTCTGTATATGGTGTAGGAAGGGGTCCAGTTTTAATATTCTGCATATGGTTTGCCATTTATCACAATATCATTTATTGAATGAAGAGGTATTTCCCTGTTTCTTGTTTTCCTTGATTGTATAGATGTGTGGCATTAGTTTTGGGCTCTTTATTCTGTTTCATTTGTCTGTATGTCTGCTTTTGTGCCAGAACCATGTTGTATTGGTTACCGTAGCTTTGTAGCATAGTTTGAAGTTGGGTAATGTGATGTCTCCAGCTTTTTTCTTTTCACTTAGGAATTTTTTTTTTTTTTTTTTGAGACAGAGTCTCACTCTGGTGCCCAGGCTAGAGTGCAGTGGTATGATTTTGGCTCACTGCAACCTCTGCCTCTCTGTTTCAAGTACTTCTCCTTCCTCAGTCTCCTGAGTAGCTGGGATTACAGATGTATACCACCACTGGCTAATTTTTGTATTTTTAGTAAAGATGAAGTTTCACCATGTTGGCTAGGCTGGTCACAAACTCCTGACCTCAGGTGATCTACCCACTTCAGCCTCCCAAAGTGCTGGGATTACAGGCATGAGCCACCGCGCATGGCCCACTTAGGATTACCTTGGGTATTTGGCCCCTTTTTTGGTTTCATATGAATTTTAAAATATTGTTTTCTAATTCTGTGAAAAATGTCATTGGTAGTTTGACAGGAATAGCATTGAATCTGTAAATTGCTTTGGGCAGTATGGCCATTTTAGCAATATTGATTCTTCCTATCCATGAGCGTGGATTGTTTTTCCATTTGTTTGTGTCATCTCTGTTTTCTTTCTTTCAGTGTTTTGTAAATCTTGTTGTAGAGGTCTTTCACCTCCTTGGTTAGCTATATTTCTATTTATTTTATTCTTTTCTGTGGCTCTTGTGGATGAGATTACATTCTTTATTTGGCTTTCAGCTTGGATGTTTTTGGTGTATAGGAATGCTACTGATTTTTGTACATTGATTTTTTTTTTTTTTGAGACAGAGCCTCACTCTGTTACCCAGGCTGGAGTATAGTGGTGTGACTCAGGCTTACTGCAACCCCTACTTCCTGGGTTCAAGCGATTCTCATGCCTCAACCAGCCAGATAGTTGGAATTCAGGCATGGGCTACCAAACCCAACTGTTTGTTTTTGTTTTTGTTTTTTTGGAGATGGAGTCTTGCTCTGTCGCCAGGCTGGAGTGCAGTGGCGCAATCTCGGCTCACTGCAACCTCTGCCTCCTGGGTTCAAGCAATTCTTCCGCCTCAGCCTCCCGAGTAGCTGGGACCACAGGCACGTGCCACCATGCCCGGCTATTTTTTGTGTTTTTAGTAGAGACAGGGTTTTGCTATGTTGGCCAGGCTGGTCTTGAACTCTTGGCCTTAAGTGATCCACCTGCCTCAGCCTCCCAAAGTGCTGGGATTACTGGCATGAGCCACTGTGCATGTACAGTGATTTTGTATCCTGAAACTTTGTTGAAGTTATTTATGAGATCAAGGAGCTTTTGGGCAGAGACTATGGGGTTTTCTAGGTATAGAATCATATTGTCTACAAACAGTGAGTTTGACTTTCTCTCTTCCTATTTGAGTACCTTTTATTTCTTTCTATTGCCTGATTTCTCTGGCTAGGACTTCCAGTACTAAGTTGAATAGGAGTGGTGAGAGAGGGCATCCTTGTCTTGTTCTGATTTTCAAGGGGAATGCCTTCAGCTTTTGCCCATTCAGTAGGCTTTTGGCTCAGGCCTATAATCCCAGCACTTTAGAGGGCCAAGGCCGGCAGATTAGCTAAGGTCAGAAGTTTGAGACCAACCTGGCCAACATAGTAAAACCCTGTCTCTACTAAATAAAAAAAAATAGCCAGGTGTGGTGGTACACGCCTTTAATTTCAGCTACTTGGGAGGCTGAGGCACGAGAATCACTTGGACCCAGGAGGTGGAGGTTGCAGTGAGCTGAAATTGTGCCACTCCATTCCATTCTGGTTCACAGAGTGAGACTCTGTCTCAACAAACAAAAAATGGCTGGGTATGGTGGCTCACACTTGTAATTCTAGCACTTTGGGAGGGCAAGGCGGATGGATCACGAGGTCAGGAGTTTGAGACCAGCCAGACTAAAAATACAAAAATTAGCTGGCCATGGTAGCCCGTGCCTGTAATACCAGCTACTCAGGAGGCTGAGGAAGAAGAATTGCTTGAACCTGGGAGGCAGAGGTTGCAGTAAGCCAGGATTGTGCCACTGCACTCCAGCCTCGGCAGCAGAACAAGACTCTGTCTCAAAAAAAAC